CAAGGAGGGTTGGGGTGGTGGCCGTGGAGGTGGCTAAAGAGGGGTCTTGGTGGTGGCCAAGGAGGAGCCAGAGTGGTGGCCGTGGAGGTGGCTAAAGAGGGGTCTTGGTGGTGGCCAAGGAGGAGTCAGAGTGGTGGCCGTGGAGGTGGCTAAGGAGAGCTAAAGGTGGTGGCCAAGGAGGAGTCGGAGTGGTGGCCGTGGAGGTGGCTAAGGAGAGCTAAAGGTGGTGGCCGTGGAGGTGGGTGAGGAGGGGTCACAGTGGTGGCTGGTGAGGGGGGGAGGTGGTGGCCGTGGAGGTGGCCAAGGAGAGGTCATGATGGTGGCCGAAAAGGAGGCGAGGTGGTGGCTGTGGAGGTGGCCGGGAGGGGTCACAGTGGTGGCCGAGGAGGGGCGGAGGTGCTGGCCATGGTGGTGGCCAGGAGGGGTGGAGGCGCTGGCCATGGTGGCAGCAGAAGTGGCTGAAGGGGGGTGAAGGTGGTGGTGGCCGCAGTGGTGGTGGCCATGGGGGCTGTGCTGGCCACGGTGGCTGCTGCAGCCGCAGTAGCAGGCCGGATCCGGCAGTCCCTGGCGCAATCTCGCCCCTGCCCCGAGGGCTGGTGCCGGTTCACTGGGTAGGTTCTCTCTCCGCTGAGTCAGAAGGTCACTGGGGCTGAGGGAAACCTGGAGGACCGCCAGCCACTGCCGCCGCCGCCGCCTCCTCCTCCTCCTCCTGGGCAGGGTGTTTGCGTGCTCCAGGTGTGGCCCTTCCTGTCCTAGATATGGCCCTCGCCCCGGCCGGTTTGCGGGGTGCTGCCTCTGTAGCCCAGCCACGTCCCTGCCACCTTGACCGGGACAATCCTGCAGCGGAAAGTGCTGTGGGTGCCCTCTCTTCGCTGCCCCGGGGCTGTATTATGGGGACCCGTGGGCTCCGCCTGGCCTCCCGTGGGCTGGTACCTTCAGCAGAGTGATGGGTGGTGGCGAGTCTGGTCATGCTCATCTCCTTGGCACGCTTGTTTTGAAGTAGTAGGTGTCCCGGCGAGGCAGCAGTCTCTGGAGGTATCGCCCCATGCAGCAGAGAAGTGCTCAGCCTCTCCCACCCCACGCTAGCAGGGACACCGTCTGCGTCATGCCAGTGCCCTCCTGCAGGGCACCTCCGGCGAGGACGTCACCACGCTTTTGCCAAGGGAAAGGCCGCTTCTGCGGCACCGAAATGCAGCAGCATGCCGTCGCCTGGGACTTGCTTCCTCCATTTGCCCCAGGGAGTGAATTTCCAGGCATCCAGGACTGCATGCAGGCACGTTTACTGCTTGGAGAAGCACAGGGAGATCTGTGATAGGAGAGGAGTGGCCGTAGAAAGGCAAAAGGGGCTTGGGAAGAGGCTGAGCTCTCTGCTTAGCTGGTCCATCGGATGCTGCCGGTGCCTCCCTCCCGGCCTGCCGTGCGTGGACACCGCTGCCACAGCCCAACACTGAAACCTGAGCAGAAAAAATGAGATGTGCCGGAGCATGTGATGTTCCTCTTTGCAGTGCAGAAACGCCCCCAGCAGCTCTGCCAGCACTTTTCTTTTTTTTCTTCCCCTAAAGTTGTAACGTTCACCAGCTGATCCTCAAAATGCGAAGTCACTGCCCATCAGGGTCACAGTTCGGGGACTTCCAGCCCACTTGCCACACCATCCCTCGCAAGCACACCCTGCCAAAGCAGCCTGCCGCTCATGTCAGCCGGGGCTCCGTCCCCGCGCTGCCACCACGCCGTTCCATTAGATATCCCCGTGTCCGGGAGAGCTGCCCCGAGTGCCCGCCTGCCCGCGGTCCATGCTGGTGATGGAGGGGCTGTGCGGTGCCATGGCCAGCCCCGGGGCTGCAGGACCTTTTCCCTTCTGGGCTGTGCTTTCGGTTGTGCCGGTAGCTCACGGCATCCCATTTGGCGTGCGTGGGACCGGGAGGTGCCGCGTTCTGCCGCGTCGCCGCTTGCTCGGTGGCGTGCAGTGGGGAAGCAGCGGGGATGTGCAATGGTTGCAGCTTGCGTGCATGATTGAATCACCCTCCCCGCTCGCTTCCAGCGTGCAGAGCGCGCCGGGAGCCCCACCCTGCTTAACCACCTCCGGCCCGGCTGCGGCCACGAGCATCCTCAGGACACCGCCGGCACACGCCAGGGTTACCAGCATCCTTCCCCACGAGATGGGGGATAACGCTTCCCTGTATGATGGGGGTCAGGTCGCCTCGAGCGGCAGTTTGGGCTGAGCTGTGGAAATGGAAGGAGTGTTGGCCCCGGCAGCGCCGAGTGCCGCCTGCTTTCCGTGGGCGGCTGCGGCTGCAGAACTGCGTGCTGGAGCCGGCAGCATCGGCCGCCGCCACTTGCGGCTCTGACCTGCCTGGAGGCTGCATTGGCCTCGCTGCCGACACCACGAGCCCTCGTGCAGCAGGAGCCGGCCAGGCCCTGCCCCAGCTGGGAATTCTTCCAAACATCAGCTGGGAGCTGTGGGAGGGGGAGAGTGGAGAGCTTCAGCGGGTCCTTGTAGGCTCTGGGTGCCTTCGGCTTTCTCCCTGTGTCTGCACGGTGCTGGGGGGTGGTCTGGATCAGGCCCATGACCCGGCAGCTCCCCATCACCCTGCCGTTCCCGCAGTTGGCTTTGGTCATGGAGGGGGGACAGGGCACATCCGACCATCCCCGGCGCATCCCGGCTGTGGGGGAGTGGGGATGGGCCGTGCAGGGTCTTGGGATGGCGCGGGGGCGAGGGAGGGAGGGAAGCCGTCCCCAGAGAGACACGGGTCAGGACTAGTTCCTCAGCCTGGGCATCTGCCCGTTCACGACCTGGGTGTCGGTGAGGTCGGAATTGCTCAGCACTGAAATCATGGGAGCAGGAGGATGAAAGCATTTCCACTTTGGATCAAACCCGTGGGTCCGTCTAATCAGAGATCCCATCTTTGGCTGCTCAAACAGCTGAGCTGTGTAGAGGAAAGACGCAGTAATCCTGCTCATGGGCGAGTTTCAGGCCACCTCTCTGGGTGGGAACACCAGCGGCTTTATGCTGAGTGGGGGGATGGCTCCATCCCAGCTGGAAGCCGAGTCCTCTCCCATTTCCCGACTGGATGCTCTGCCCTGTTTGGGTGAACGGGCCCCGCTGACTGCAGCGTCCCCTTTTTATACTAGTGCAACTCTTTGCCGCAAGATAATTCCTGCTGCGAGCTGTAACGCCACATCCCAGGGTATGCAGCATCCCAGGGTATGCAGCAGCTGCCAGGGTGCTGCCAGCCCCAGGCTGTTTTACCTGTACACAGCCTGACTGCTTTGAGCACCTCCGTGGCCTCATCCCTGTGGTATCTGAGCACCTCAATTCCTAACAAACTGTTTATTTCCACAATAACCTTTGGAGGCAGAGGAGTGATTAACACCTGAGATGGGAACTGAGGCTGGGAAAGCGGCTGGGCTGTACCAAGGGTCTAATAAGGAGCAAGGAACTGGGGTGCTTGGCCAGCTCTGGTTTGCTGCCTGTGGCTGCTTTTTCTTGGTGGAAGCTGGGAGCAAGAAAGCTGAAAGCTTTTCCTTCTCCTCTGTGAGCACTGCCTGCAGCCCCCCGGATGAAAGCAGCCTGTTAACCCTCAGTGGCACGGCAGCAGCGAGCCTGCTCCCGCTCCTCGGGCTCCCCGAGCGCGCGGTGGTGGAGTACTGCTGCCTGTGAGCGGTTTTAGTCCAGTTTTTGGCTACTGCTTTATCCAGGTTTTGCAATATTCTTCTTAATTCCCTGATGAAGTAAAGGAATTGATGTTCCAGAAATATTAAATTAGGGTTTGGGTTTTTTTTTCCTTTTTGATGCCACTTTAGTCCGGCAGCAACAGATTTCCTGACTGGGGAGGGGGAGGCTGTGATGTTAAAAATAAAGCCTTCAGTGCACACAGCTGCTTTGTAACATCAGCAAGTGCTTGTTGAAAAGCCTGCGGGGTGGTTTCGCCGTGTGCGTGGTGAGCCGGCAGCAGCGCGGTGAGCAGCGAGCGGCAGGGGCTGGGCTGCGGTGGGCACCGTGCCGGCGGCATCGGGCTCGACGCTGCGGGGTGGTGGAGGTGCATGTGAATCCTCGAGGCAATTTGGGGCTGGGTTGTTCCTGCGTGTTGCTCTGATAATAACCGAGATGTGAAATCTCCCCGGACACTTGATTTCCTCCGTCCTCTGCTGCCGTGTGGCACGTGGTTTTGTGTAAACACAGGCTTTGTGTTTTAGTCCTGAGCTCCTCAACTCAAAGGAGGGA